CATTCCCGGAGTTCAAGTTCAATGCAGGACGCACCACCTGGAGAACCAGAAGGACGTGTCAGTGACGATACTTTGTTAGAAGATCTCAGGAAGAGAGCTGTAGAAGGAGGACAGGAAGTAGAAGGATCGCCGAAGAAGTCACGAGAAATGCCATCATCACCATCATCGCCCTCAAGAGGAATCTACCCGCCTTTGTTCACAGGCAGGGTATCTCAGGAAGATGATCCCTTTCACTGGGATGAACATGAGGATCTCACAGCAGTAGAAGGAGAAGACGTGGAGTATGAAGATCTCATGGAAGAAGAGATGGAAGAAGTTCCAAAGAACGACCAAGGAGAAACACCACCCGAGCTAAGTCCAGAGGAACTGGATACCTTGGATCAGGAAGCAGCCGTGGAAGAATTGAATCGCCTCAGTAAGCTAGGAGTAATCGAGGAGTTCATGGAGGCGAACGCAACAGGTGATGAAAAACGTATGGATTTGCGCGAAGTTTACGACTGGAGGCATCGTGACGGACGCTGGAAAAGGAGGTGCCGTATAGTGGCCAGGGAGTACAGGGCAGGTGCGAGCAGCACAGCTGAGACATTCAGCCCAACGGCAAGCAATGCCGCGTCGCGCCTAGTCTTGTTGTTACACCTGGTGTACAACTGGGTCGTAGTCGTACTTGATATAAAGGACGCGTACCTTCAGGTCCCGCAGCAAGAAGAGGTGCTAATCACAATTAGTGATTGGATGAAGCGAGCCGCGAACCTGAAAGAAGGAATAGTGTGGAGGCTCAAGAGATGCTTACCTGGTCAAAGAAACGCCGCAACAAGGTGGTATGAACATTTGCGGAGTATACTTGAGAAACTGGGATTCGTGTTCTCAGTACATGTACCCGCATTAGCTAGACACACCACAAGGAAGCTGTGTATCTCTATCCATGTAGATGACGAACTACTAGCAGGAGAAAAGGAGGAAACCATTTGGTTGGTAGAAGAATTGGAGAAAGTATTCAAGGTGGAGAAAGAAGGACCATACCCAGCGAATGGAGTCGGAAGTGGAGAAGAGATGCGATATCTCAAAAGGAAGTATGTCTTCACCCGAGAAGGAATTGTTGTCCAACCGAATGAGAAGTATGTTCGGAAGCTCATTGAGTTGTATGACCTTGGAAAGTTAAAGAGTAAGGCCACACCAGAGCATGTGGATCTGGTGAAGGAAGACCGGACCAAGGAGTTGAGTGCTGAAGAGACAAAACGGTTTAGATCTGGACTCGGATCTATTTTGTACCTTGCACAGGACAGGATTGACATTCAGTATGCCTCAAAGTGTTTGGCATCAAGTATGTCGAAGCCGACGTTGCAGGCACTAAAGTGTCTGAAGCACTTGATTCTGTATTTGAGTGGAACAGCCACAAGGGCTACTCTTTTACCGTATACCGAAATCGGAAGCCGGTTGATCACGAAGTTGAATGGCCAAGAAGACGAAGAAATTGCCAAGGATGCAGGACATGTGGTGGAAGCGTATTCGGACAGTGATTGGGCAAGCCTGAAGACCCCGGACAGAGCCCGAAGGAAGAGTACCTCATCAGGAATCATTGTACTGAACGGAGTGCAAGTGTTATCATTTTCTAGGACTCAGAAGGCCACATCATCATCAAGCTGTGAAGCAGAGTTGTATGCACTAAGTGGAACTTGTGGAGAAGCAATCCTAGTCGGAAGGCTATTTGAGTTCCTAGTAAACGCGCCTGTACGCGTGGAGATACGGTGCGATTCATCATCTGCACGACAGTGGAGTCAACGACGAGGAGTTGGACGTTTGAAGCATGTGGACGTTAGGCTGTGTCAACTGCAAGATTGGGTGCGAGACAATCTTGTAAAACTTGGTACAGTGCGAACCGCGCTAAATGTGGCGGATCTGAACACCAAGAAGTTGTCATATGCCCGAAGGTCATTTCTACTGTATCACTTGTCTCAAGTAGAGTATGATGAAGAAGGAAACTTGGAGTATACTGGAGAGAAAGAGTATGAAAAACATGAACAAGAGAAGAAATTGAAGGAGTATGTCGGAAGTGGACAAATCAAGAGTCTCATTAGAGCCATACAGGTATTTCATTTGATGAAGCCGATTACCGCAGTATTGCTCAAGGAGGAAGTATCTGACGCCCAAGTAGAGACCTGTGGAACCTTGGAAAAAGGTATGAGCGCCATGGACGGAAACTTCACGAAGTTTGAAGTTGGAATGATGGTATGCGTATTTTTGCTCGCAGTGCCGTATGTTATCACGGTATGGACAAAACTTGGAAGAATTTTGGAAAACCTGCGAGGTATTGGACGTGTGAAGATCAGTACGGGAAGCCGTGCACGTGTATATCACCGTGCTACTTGCTGGCATGCCCAAGGGTCACACAAGAAGCCAGGCCGGTGGGTCTGGAAGGACGTACAAGAAGCCGAGCAAGATGGCTTTAGGGCATGTTGGATTTGTTTCCCAGAGACGAAACCAGAAGGAAGCTCGAGAAGACGCCGAGAGCGCGCAGAACCGCCGACACCAGACGAAAGCGACTGGGAAGTAATGGAGCTTGACTTTGAAGTAGAGTCAAATGGCGGATGCACAAAGAAGTGCTACTGGTGCGGAGTACGAAAGTGTACAAGGGAGAAGGTAAACCACCAGAAATGTTCTTGCACGGAATGCATCAAGACATATGCGACGGAACAATGGAGGAAAAGTTATGACAGAGCAGTAACGGAAGGAACGGGTGATGCCACGGAAAAAGAAGAGACCCGTGTAACGGATGAAGTGGAGCATGCCTGGAATGCCGGACAAAAGAGTGGCAATGGAAAAGGATCTTTGAAGAGACGTGGAAGAGCAGCGATGGGAACACCATCAATCGTACACACAGAGAGTGTGCGTATGCCCATCATAAGTGAGGAAGACTACCGACGTGGTGGAAGAGTCACATCTGGAAGAAACAAGCAGGATGTGGAAACCCAGGAAGAACCGGAAAAGAAGAAAGAGCCGGAGATGATCGAGTACCGCGGAAGGATGATTACCGTGGAAGAGATGGGGAACAAGATGCTATCCCCAGAAGCACAGGAATCGTATGAGAAGTATTGCGAACAATGCAGTGAGATGTATGACGCGTCAGAAGAACGCGCACAAGGATCGGAAATCCCGATGGACCTGTTTGGGAGTTCGAAGCCAATGGATGTAGATCCAGGTACACCGGACAGCACAGAACAGAGAACGTTGTTCGGAAGTCAGTAAGACCTACATCGTGTACGAGTATGAGGCAGAGAAGTGAGTGTAGGCAAGACTGAAAAAGTTTCACTTCAGAACGCACAGCAGCGAAAGCGCAAAAGAAGGAAGAGCGCTAACGCAGGAAGATTGTGTGGAATGTTTCACTAGGACGAAGTACTTGTTACTGTACGAGTCAAGACAAGGACGGTCTGACACACCTCCTTAATTGGGGGACGGTCAAAAGGTGGGTTGCACGGAGTGTTTAACCCAAGGACTTGCAATGGCTAAGCCGATGCAGTCACGGGCGGAGGTATGCCCGACCAATGACCGATCGAAGTACAGCACAAGGACTTCGAGGCAGGGTGTTGAATTCTGTACATAGGAACGCCCCACACCTTTGGTGAGCCCAGGCTACGGTATAGTATTGTATAGCTGTATACTATGTGACCGATGCAGCGCCTTTGGTTCAAGAGTAAAAGTGTGACCGCTCAGGGTTTTACAGTTTAACTTTGTCGCAGACTCGCCAGCTAGCCTTTACCCCCTTTGGGGTCCAGGCGAGAAGAGAATTGCGCAACTGGAATTGAGCATGGTCCTCTATGCCCTGGTCTCTCGACCGAGCCAGTTCAGATCCAGGAGGGGGGTATGGTACATCGACAATACCGCGGCTTTCATGAGCCTTATACGTGGTCGATCAGACAATGCAGACCTCTCTCGCCTAGCCCAATTGATCCATCTTTGCCTTTTCTGCTTCAAGACATGGGTCTACTGGGAATGGGTTCCATCATGTTCCATCTAAATCGAACTGGAGTGACTCCATTAGCCGCGAGGGCGCGGATGATGTGTGGCATCAGTCGCACTTGTTCTCCACCTTTCGTGCTCATTTCCCTCACGAGCTGTGGGCTCTGCCGCTTGAGGCGGTAGTTGTAGTCCTGGAGTTTCTCTAGTGTAGTGCATTGGGAGAGTGCTTTGGGAACGGTTGGGTCAGATTCGTACAGACAAATTGTACTGAATCTCGGCTAACGTTTCTGTGTGGGACCCGGGTGTTTCCCGGTTTTACCAATGCATTACCCTCTGTGTTCCAGAGGCTTGCTAGTGAAACTTTGGACTCAGCCATCCGCTCGCACGAAAGACGAAAACAGTGAAGCGCGATGGTCACCAGTACGGTCAACAGAAATGTGTTCATGCATCGAGTTTGGCAGGCTTGGGTGTGCATGTATCATTTCTGAGGGACCTTGTACCTGCTTGCAAAATTTGGCTCAAGCCTCAGCTAGAGCCAAACTGGCAAAGCTGGTACTTCTTTTCTCCCACCCGCCCGCCCTGGGTTGCCGACCTCCGGTGGAGTCGTCTGTGACCTGGGTTTGTACCGTTCTCCTCTTTTAAGGTGCAGGGGCAGTATGTGTGACATACGTCCATTACGGGAACGGTTGGGTCAGATTCGTACAGACAAATTGTACTGAATCTCGGCTAACGTTTCTGTGTGGGACCCGGGTGTTTCCCGGTTTTACCAATGCATTACCCTAGTGAAACCTTGGACTCAGCCATCCGCTCGCACGAAAGAGGAAAACAGTGAAGCGCGATGGTTACCAGTACGGTCAACAGAAATGTATATTCAAAGCTGTGTGGCCACGATGGCTCATGCATGCACCTGGCAAAGTGAGCTCATTGATGAGCTGCCTGCACCCTCAATGCAGCACTGAACCGACAGCATTCAACCCTCAAGACCAAATAATCGCGACCGCCCCAGATCGTTTAAGCTTTCTGAAGCCCGTCAGTCCCGGCGGCAGGATTTCCAGAACGGGAGCGTGAAAGCTCCGGAGTTCTTCGGCACCGCCATGGCCTGCATCGATGGGGACGTCGTGCACGAAGTCTTCGTGAAGGGCTATGAGGTTCTGGGTTGGTGTTCAGTAAGGTTGAAACCTGAGCCTCCGGGCGAGATATAAATAGAGTCAGACAAATGCAGCTGCACGAGTAATAATACATAAACAATATTGCCACGGTTCGCGAGACTGTTCGAATGGGGGTCCTCCATACGTCCTACCCGAGCACACCATTCCCTCAATGCCAATTTCTTGCCCTTCCAGAACTTTGAGCTGGAGTTCCTTCCTTCGGAGTTGAACGACACCGCGATTCTGGAGCCCCAGGCTGGGGCTTGGGTTTTCCACTTGGCGCAGCAGCGCGCTTGGCAAGATGCCAGGCCGAGCAACAGGCGGAGCTCAGACTCTCGGTCCCCTCCTGCGACAAGCCTGACCTGACAGATTTTGTTTTCGGCACCTTGGAGGACCCATGCTTTAGAGGCAGCCTTGATCGCAAGCTGCATCAGACCTTGGAGCCTCCCTTAAGGACCCTGAGCATTACTCCCTCCACTCGTGCGAGTGCTTCGGGGAAGCTCATGCTCAAACTTCGCCAGTGACAGCGCATTCCGATGTTGAGGCCTGCGTGATCGTGGGTTCACCAACCACGAAATACAGGAATGTTGTAGCAGACGCACTAAGCACTGGAAGACATCCAACAATATCCAGCAGACCGCCTTCAGTCGCCGCGCACTGTAGCCGCTTAGGCTTGAAGACTGTCCCGATCGCTCCTTTCCGCCCCCCTTGACCCTGCTGACCGTGAAGTTTCAGCCTGCAAGCAGGCCGTAAAACAGCGGTTCTGCACCTCGTTCTTCCAGAGGCTTCCCGCAGCGGCAACTTCAACAACGGCACGGTCGAAGACCAGCTGATCTCCCAAGGGCCTTACACTTGCGAGGCGAGGGCTTTGTCCGTGGTGCATCCACTCTTGAGTAAAGTTTCACTGAGTGCGGGTTTTCGAAGCTTTCGGCTTTGTTCACAGGTGCGAAGCCGTGTGCGAAGTCTCTTGTTGGTGATCATTTCGAGAGCACTCCTCCCGCCTGTCGCCTTCGAATGCCTTATGAAAGGTCCCACCAAACCATGCCAAATACATGTCACGCAGACGTGGCAGATCTGTTCTGAAGGGTGAAGTGTCCACGTCACTTTAGCCTAGCACCATCCAGATGAACATAAAAGCGCCCAGTCGCCCGCAGTCCAGTGTCTCTTGCTGCTCGAGAAGCTCATCAACCAGCCTGCCAGAGACACAAGACCCATCACACACCGATGGGTCTTGATCAGCACCACACCTCTTTGCAAAAGCACAAAGCACGGGCCGAAAACGAGAAAGCAGCTGCAAAGGCACCACAACAAAAGCAACACTGCGAGCATCCTGCGATGCAATTCCATCTGCAAGCCGTCTCAACCCCAACAAACCCAGCTTCGTCACAAATTTCCTCGGAGGGGACGCGTTTGCCTCCGCTCCCAAGTTTTGGACGGTCCCATTGGTTCGGTTGTTCCTTCGGTTCTCCGGCTGTCAGGTCGGTGGGCCCGTTGGCGGCCCCGTGTCCTTCCGAAATGACCACTAGCTTTGGTATATCCATCACAGGCGAATTGGGGGCATGCAGCTGTCCCGGTCGTGTGCCATATCGCAGTCCGAGTCCCCGTGTCCCCGTCATTGCAGTCGGTGTTTTGGTCGTTGCGGTGTGCCGGTACCGGTGTCCGTGGCCAGTGTTCTCGTTGTCCTGGTGGTGCCCCGGTTCGTGACCCGGTTTTGTTCCGGTGCGTGCCAGAGTTCCGGCTCCTGTTGGTGTCATCGATGTCCAGAGTGTCTCTGTCCGGTCCTGGTCGGTGTGCTTTGTCTGTGTGCCGGTTGTATCCCAGTCGGGGTCCTTGTCAGCGTTCTTTGGAAAAGAGCTATTCTGCAAGACGCACACAGGCAGACAGATATCTATCTATCTATCTATCTATCTATCTACTTGTATCTGTCTATCGGTATGATGATACTGTACATATCATACGAATTATATACTGCAGGCCAGAGGGGGTTCGCAAAGCTCTAAAGCTCGAGTCTTCAGCAGGGTCAGGGAAGCTTGAGTCTTCAGGAGCTTCAGAGCTTCACTTCTTTTGCGAACCAAACGGGGCGGACATTCTACGGCATGCGACGCATTGTCTCAGTCGTAGTTGGCGTCCTCGTCAGCGTCGCTGTCAGCATCACTGCTCGTCTCCCCGTCAGAGACACTGCGGTATCCTCGACTGCAACGGCACTTACACAGCAGCTTCCGTGTGCCATTGGGGTCCGCAGATGAGTTCATTTCCGGTATAACATGGCGTCAGGGCTTTCAAAACTACTTACAGGGGCACTTTCATAGCAGTTCGCTGTTTCCGGATCATTCGCCTCCAGACACTTGTTGCTCAGATAGCGCTTCCTCACAGGTTTGTTGAGAGACCTTCTTCGCACCTAAACCCCCAAAGCCAAGCCAGGGGATGTTCTCCCCAATGCGGCTCTCGTGCAAGTGTTGGTTGATTTCCTCTCGTTGTCTTCATAGCAACTGCACACCGGGACGCTGAAGTCTGGTCAGTGTGAGGATGCCTCGTTTCTCGATCAGACCTTCGACACGACGCAGTCGGCCTGCGCAGAAACGTGCCATTCCTCTACCGGCTGTGCATTCTATCTTTTCTTCGATACCGGGAAATGCACTTCGGGAGCAACAAGCTCGCGGCTTGTACTTGTGGTAGCGTTCTGATGAGATGATGTATGAATTTTGCAACGGGTGTTGCAGCCCAGGTATACTATTCAAGCGCTGTCAATACCTCCAGCAGTTCGAGAAACAGGTGGTCGCCACCCTATATGGCGTTCCACCTGCAGGTGATTTCTGCCTCATCGCTGATCCAGAAACTTGTTGGAAAGAGATCAAGCGACGCAGCTACCTGAGCCTGACACCTTCGAACGTGCCTGGGCTAAGTTGGAGAGATGTGTGTCGTGAAAGGTCGTTTAGTAGGCACTCGTAGACGTATAAGGTGAGCTGCAAAGTACACAGCCTGCACGAGGTCACCTTGCTCTCTTCACCGGGTGGCCATTCCATGTGTTGCCCGAGAAATACAGCGACAGCACGGGCTAAGAAACAGTTAAATTTTCGTGAGGGGTCTCGATTTCTTATTTTTGAAGCGCACCTTTTTTCAGGAAAAACAACGTTTCGGGATTTGAGGGTACCCTTGATTTCTTAACCCAAACATTCCTAATTTGCAGCGGCAGCGAATAAACAACAAAAACAAGAAATGAAGGCGCAGCAGGATTCGAGGCCGCAGCACTTTCCATTCCAGCTCATGTGCTTATCCACTCGGGCGTGGCAGCCCAAGAAACTCCCTTGGTTTCTTGTTTTCTTGCGCGAACGACACCAGCGAAGACACAGTGAGAAAGAGCAAGATAAGAAATTGGCACGCCGAGTCCAGGGTACCCTGGATTTCTTGTTTTGAATGTGTTTTTTCGTATTTGTTTTATCGCACGGCTGTCCGAGGGGCTCAATTCTTTAAACCAGTGATTTCTTACGCAGTGCTGTTGCTATAACAATTTACGGGAGGCTGGAGCGATTGGACATACTCGCAGACCTTTAGCAAGTCCTGCTCGTCACAAGCTCGTTCTCGTGAAATGCAGGTGCCCAGATGCCTCTTCCAGGATCAGTACGAAGCTTGCCACTGGGCTCGGGCATCTAGGATTCCCCAAACACCAACCCTAAAGCAATCTTCTATGCTAGGAAGAAGAAGTGGAATGGTCTGTTTCCAGGCTTCGGGAGTACTTTAAGGTGACATGCTGCAGCAGCTGTCGGGCCAAGAGGCCGCCGTTTGCCTGCGCCTCCTCGGTTATCATCTGTTTCAGCACGTGTAAGACTAGAACCAGAACCACGATTGCAGCTGATGAAGTGATCCGTCGAAGCCCCCATGTTGGAGTGCGGGCTCAAGCATGGATACGAAGCGTCTAGATCCGGTGTTCAAGGCCAAATCTACACGTTACAGACGCATGAGGATCCATTCCAACAGTGTAGCTCGCGAAACCTTCCAAGCAGGCTGGCAGCTGTTCGAAATGCCAGTACATCGATGCCTCCAGCGAGTATGCTGCGAAAGGAATGCAGAAGGTGCCTCCATGACGGAGCAAGCAGACCCTCGTAACATGAGCTTCTCTTGGTCCCATTGCTTGCATCTCCCTAGAGGCAGCATGGAGGTAGTGGTGACCCACAAACAGTTCCCACACCTGTCCTGCACAAGGTGCCATTGCCAACGGCATTCCCCGCAGCATCGCAGATTTCCGTCAGCTGCAACTACACCTCCCGCATGTTTACCAGGCTTTCCCGGTGGCATCGCGGGGGGTAGGTCTCTTGTAGAGTCGTTTTCGTCGCCGCTTTAGTGCCTCGGCCCGTGAGTCAACTGTCGGCAATGGTGCTCATGAGCACTAGTCAGCAGCTGCAGAATGTCTTTCACGCACTGTTAGGGTACGGTCAGAGAGGACTTGTTGGGTTAGAGTTAGAGCAGGTGCGCGCATGTACAATCATGGCACATGCCGGAAGATTCGCCCTGTAACGCAGTCAAGCGGATGTTAATTACAAACTGGCAGAGCGAAGAGGCTTGATGACAGCTTGAAGTGGGAGGGCCCGCGTGCGACGGCGAGCTTCACATGCGTCAGTGGCCAGTGGGTCGGCGTGCTCCCATCCAAATCTGTGAGTTGTGGACCGTTTGTTCAGCTTGATTCAGGTCGTAAGCGCAGGCTTGCATTCGTGTGCCGGCACATGTGCACTCGTGTGTGTGTGTGTGGCCATTCTGCGAAATTATATTTTTGTTGAAGTGTTCCATAGGTGCTTGTCATTTCACTTGTGTTGGGCCTCATGGTTTTGCTGACCTCCGCACAGTGCCACTCAGGAGCTTGGCGCGTGGCAGCACCTGGACAATCTAAGCTGCCAGGACCTTCACCTCAAGTCGGCATCGGTACTGTACATGCACTCTAGTTGTGGCGGATAAGTTTACAATGGTCCAAGTGACATGCCGATACAGTGGTTTGTTTGCCATCGTTCTTGTACTGTTGGGACCTGCTGCCTGCATCGGCGTTCAGCATGATTTGCTGGTGCCGATGCCGCCGTGCCGGATGTGCATGCTGGGCAGCGGAGGGGCTTCAGGGCTGGGATCTACGTTTTAAACAGCACAAGGACCGTGCTTAAAACAAAATGAGATGGAAAGTGGAGCATAAGTAAGTCTAAGCGACATAGAATGGTGCAAACCACTAGGAACGCCGAGATATCAGTTGTGCAGCATGGTGGAAGTGCAACAATTACCAGATGGAAAGCACAGGAAAGGCAGAGTCTCCACACGAAGCAAGCATTCCGCACAAGCCACCACAGGGGTATTCAGCACACCAGGTGTAATGCTTCCTCGCAGACAAACAGCCAATCAGCCGAGACTAGAACGTTTGTGTTGCAGGGCCGGAGCCTCAGGTTTGTGCGCTTTGCTTAGCAATCTTGCGCAGTCATATCTTCTGAGAGCCGCCCTTGAGGGTTTAAGTTTTGGCGCTTCCCGTTTTGGCGTGGAGATCGCAACAGCACCCATAATCACTCTGAAGGAATCGAACGTCTGTTGGCATGCAATCTCAACCATGCACGTGGACCCGAATTCCGAAACCGTATGACTTAGACCTACAATGTTGGACCCGTTTATGCAAGAACGGACGCCATTTCGCACGCGCGAGGAGTGCATCCAGGTTGGCACACAGAGCCTGAGAAATTTCTCCAGGTTCAGCGTGCCGCAGGTCAGGTCTGAACAGTCCTCATGGTGAAACTAGACGCTTCATTCTTGCTGGCAAGGCTTGAACCAGATGGAGTGTACTCTTGTGGGACTTGTGGGGCTGCGGTTATTTTGAACCCTGAATGCAGATTCGCGTTTGGTGCACTTGAAATGGCGTCGAGGAGTGAACGGCTTTCGGTTGGAAGAATTTGATTGACCCGAGAACCGATGCTGAAGCTGAAGAGACAGCTGAGGCCATCTGCTATGTTTCCTGTGTATCGGAGCATCACCCTACCTTCTTGACAGGTGTACTTTTTGGAGCACAGGCTGATCCAGGCAGAAGCTGTGAACGTGCTATAGCTTTTGCAAGTCTCCTTCACAGAGCGTGACCTCATCGTCCGACATGTTCTACCCTGAGCCTGCTCCCCCCTTCCCCGCCCTGTTTCCGATCCAGGTAACCCATGCAAACACCCCGGTCGGCCTGGGTTGTGCTACCGCCAGTTGGCAAACAAGGCCGGCAGACTCTCAACACGATGGGTACTTCCATCAAGACTTATGTGAGCTTCCCATCCAAGCTGTCTTCAGGACAGTTGACTTCACTCAGACTGTTGCTGTGTGGATTGATGGCTGGGGATCATGCGAACGGGCTGCAAGAGGCGTGTTCTGACCCTGCACTCCAGCCCCGATCGCTGCTTCAAGCCTTGGTAGGGCAAGTGATAGAGCTGTTGGCAGGTCTCCGTTGGTGCTGATGCTGGAGGGCCAGAACGGCCAGGAGTTTGTGGGCTATTCATAGTCGATTGGGGTTGGGAGTGCCGAGCCAAGCTGCAGCCGGACAAGAAGGATAGACAGAATGAGGAGTGTTTCCCGGAGACCTTCGCGTTCATTTAGGTTCCCAAACGAAACATGATGTAGGGATCCAGTTCGTCGGGTTGAAGATTGATTGACAGTCGGCCAATGCCTTTGCAATTGGTCTACCCGGTGTTTGGGACTGCTGCCCAGGAGCACCAAGCCTTGTACATTTGCTACGGCGGCTTGGGCGATGGGTCACTGATCCTTAGCTCTGGCTGCGATGCCCCAAGCATCGTGCCGTTCTGGAAGGACCATCCGATACCTCTCCAGATACTAGACCACTCGCCTAGACCTGATAGACTTGACGGCCCAAGCTCCCCGGGCTTCATTCAAAACACGTTTTCGATTATGTTGACCCTCAACTGCGGCTTCTAAAAACTGCGAAATCCACAAGAGGATTCAGAGCTGTACGTGCGCTCCGGGAGCAACCAGAGTGGTCTGTGTCTGCATGAGCGCAGCATGGCTCAGCTTGTGGTATTCAGTGCTGCTGGGGGTTCCGGTCTTGGCTTTTGACCCGTTGACTCGTTTCAAAGGGCGTGCCTACTGCAAAATCGACGGCTTCCTGCCAATAGTGGTGCTACTATGTGTGCCACGAGAGGTACCTCGTTGCATGAAGAAGTGACATGTGTGGGTCAAGCTACATCCCGGAGCATGGAGATTCATCATCATGTTGTTCACCTACCCGTACCACCACTGTCAGCATTTTCCTCACAAGAGACATCATCACCGTCAAAATGATCACCGTCTTTGTCATAAGCGGCCTCACGCTCTTGTTCCCGCAAAGTGGACACTAAGTGACCAATTCGCTGCCTCCGTCACGCTCCACTCCAGTCGACTCCGCTCCATTCATCGCCGTATTCATCGCCCAGAGCTCCGCTTTCGCAGACTCTCCGAGCCCGTGAAGCCTCGATTCTCCAAACATCGTCGCAGGACGCATTTTGCCAAACCTTGCAGACACAGCCGTAGACCGACGGAACACCAACGGAAACGCACTGCCGCGGGCAGGCACCAAGATCACGTAGTGAGGACACAAGTGTAGTACACAACGAACAGCAACAACAACAACAGCAGAGCCTCCGGGCAAAGGTCATCGTGTGTAGGCACCGGAAAGTTTTCGGAGCATTTCGCTTACGTTGTGATACGCTTGGTCCGCTTGGTGTAATCCTTGTTTACTCTGCTGCTTTGCTGATGTGACGTCTTCCTGGAGGACAGTGTACGCATACACTGTACACGGAAGTCACGTAAGCATTACGCCTGAAACGCGCAAAGCCAACCGGGTTGGGTCTGGAAGGGACCTGTATCTCGGATTTGAAGGGCCGCGAAGTTTTTGCTTTTTGTCTCCTAGTACAGGATGCTCAGTACAACAGAGATGCACGAGAAAGCTTCAGGGTTTGCAGCAAAGTCAGCTTCGAAAGGCAGAGCGTGCCATCCTACCTTGGAGCATTATATGCCTTGGACACCGCATGCAAGCTGCCCCATGTGCTGACATTCGAATACGACAGCTAAGGCAATTTTGAATTCGTGATCTCGCCATGTGATGACGACTCGTTGCATCTGGAGCCTTGGCACCGTGTAGATTTTGCGCCTGACTACTCCAGAGCCTTATTAAGCCTACTGCACATGTTGAGAGCTACAAGCCTCGATTCCAAGCCATCTCACGGTGAGGCCACAGACCTAAAACACCAGTCCCAATCCCAGCCAACGAAAGGCTAATCAGGACCAGGAGCTCAGTAGGTCATGTCACATGTCGCCAAACAGCAGTCAGCATCTCATGTGCTGACTGCAGACCCGAACCAAGGCCGACCTCATCAGCAGAGTTTTTGCAAACTCATGCAGCATCACACCCGTCGTCCCATCGTAGGGCACAACAACCAAAGACCACAAATCGATACTGGCAGCGAATCATTTTTCTGCAGTTTGCAACTGTCCCGTGCTGTCCTTCTGACATTGACTGCGGTTGACGATTCACGTCTCTGCGTTGCTGAATGTCATGTTTTGGGCTAGGCCATCCCTGCACAGGTTGAGGTTGAAGCTGTAGCAGAGCTTGCCAATGTTGTGCCTCCTATGGCTTCACTGAGAAGAAGCGCATGATGCGACTCCTTCGCCAAGCAGATGGTTTTGCAATTACAGTCTTGTCCTCGTCTTCGTCGTCTTCACCGCAGAAGTCCTGATTAGCAGATTTGCAGCGCCTGTCGTACCGGTTGTGGCAGCATCAACCGGAGTAGGGCTATCGGCCACCAGTAGCAGCAGCAGAAGTGGTAGGAATAGTAGCAGTAGGCGTAGCAGCAATGGTAGTAGTCATGCTAGCAGTAGTATCTGTGGCCGTTGCAACAGCAGTAGCAACACCGAGAACAGCGGCAATAGTCATGGAACCAGTGGAGTGCAGAAGTAAAAGCAAGAGCAGCAGCGGGAGCAGCAGCAGTTGCTGGACGAGGAGGAGGAGGTGGTGGTAGCGGCAGTAGTGGCAGTCGTCGTAGTCGCAGTCGCAGTCTTACCTGTAGTCGTAGTACTTGTAGTAGCAGACGCAGTAGTAGTAGTAGTAGTAGTAGTAGTAGTAGTAGTAGTAGTAGTAGTAGTAGTAGTAGCTGGAGTACTCCCCATTGACAATCCTGAATGTGGAACCAGTCTCGTCGTCCAGGTAGCCTTCTTCCACAAGACCTTGATCCTGACCCGTCAGAATCAGCTGTGCTTTCTTCTACTACCCAGGCTACCGCAGTGGAAGAGGACGTTGGCCATGCTGAAGCCGTTCGTCCGAGCAAAAGGCCACGACGTATCAACAGTCGTAACTTCGTGCACTTCCTCAGGCCTGCTGTCCAAATGCAGACGCGAGATGTCAGTGAGAGCATGCAGCTGATCTGTGCAGAGCAGGCCTTGAGTTTGTGCACTAGGAATGGCCATGCACATCCATCAAATCCTGTGCCCGAAAGTAATGCGAGGCCCTGGCAGAGGCCTGCCTTCGTGGGAAGTGGGTGTACTTCCATCAACTACGCCGCCTCTTTGACGAGGCTCCTACCAAGGTACATGAACGTCATGTTTCATTGGTTGTGGGTTATCCACGTGAGCCGCGCTCGCTTACACTTGGAGCCTGTGTCCGAGGAGGCATAGCGACAGTTCACACCAACACACGTGCCATGATTTGGACCACGACCACGAGCTTGTTATGCACAGTTGTCCGTTCGCTATGTCCTGATACACTCTTAGCAACCTCTTTCTTCACCTGAATGTTCCGAGTGAGGTTCACGTTGACGCGCATAGTCATGCAATCATTGACGATGTGGGACTGTATAATTGTATAATAACCCCGTGCTGTTAAGTTGAGTCTTGACATGTCCGTGTTAGGTTTTGATGGTTTTTAAGAAGAAAATAAAACGATAACAAAACATAACGAAACCGTA